TAACCCCAACGTCTTCATATGAGCTAGGATAGCATCTCGATACTGAGCCGCCTGATGTTCCGACTGTGCCAGGATTAGCCAGTCGTCTATATAGTTCAGAACGCGGATGCCCTGGAGTCTTAACGGAGCCAGAGCTGCATCCACGCACTTTGTGAACGTGCGGGGTGACAGTGCTAGGCCAAACGGAAGGACCCAATACTGGTACGCTTCCCCCCCGAAAGCGAACCTGAGGAACTTCCTGTGTTGCGGAAGTATGGAGACGTGAATGTATGCGGACCCAATCTGAGACATTTGGCAGAAGTTTCCACGCTGCCAGATACTCTACTAAGGGAACCACTCTCGAGGCTGGTCTCTGGTGTTATTTGAAAACGGCGCACCGGGAGGAAGCAACCGAACTGACCCTCTTTGAAATCTCCTCAGAGAGTGCAAGCTTCCCTACGCCGCTACGTTTCCGGGTGGACGTGGAGACAAACAGGACCGCTGCGCCCTGAAATACCAGAGGTGGCAGGGTTGGCAGCATGCCCCCCTGATGGCACCGAGAGGAAACGGGTGCCTCAACACACCGAATCCCCTCGGAGGGGGCTACCATCGAAATCCTGGCGCCTTTGGCGTCAGGACTTCTTCGCCGAGGCCTTCCTGGAGATAATTACAGTCCTCAGATCTGCTCTACCTCGGGAAGACCTTCGCTGAGCATTCTGTCCCGACCCCCAGTCTCTCTGTGAGGGGGCACGAACAACCACGCTCATCTTTTGCTGGGCTCTATTCGAGGTGGACATACTCGGCTGAAGCTGCTCCTGCCCAGCAGCCCCAGAGACATGGACTTTGCGAGGGAGAAATTTTTGAAAAGCAGCTGCCTGCTTCTTTGCTTCGTGAAATCTCTCAACGACCGAATTCACTGAATCGCCGAAAAGACCAGTAGGGGAGACAGGAGCATCTAATAAAAATCTCTTATTTCTTTCTTTGATGTCAGATAAATTCAACCAGAGATGCCTCTCCGTGGCCAGATTTTGCCGCTTCTCTGGTGGCCAGAAGAGACAGATCAGCTGCCTTCCTGATCTCTGCTATAGTCTCTCTCCCCACTTTCTCACATTCATCATCTATGTCTTTTAATAAATCAGCCTGGTATGCCTGGAGGACCGCCATAGTGTGTAAACTGACCTGCTGCCGAGTATGCCTTGCCGGGCGTACACCAAAAGACTTTGAAAAGATTTAGAAAAGACTTTATAAGATTATCACCTCACATCTAAAGACTTTGGGTTCATAGTTTTTAGTCTCAGACTAAAGATTTTACAAACACTGAATCTTGTAGTGACACTATTTATAAGACTACAACTAGATTATTTTAGCTTCCCACCAAATTCCTCCCATCATTCCGCGGTTGCGTGAATGTGAAAGCAACACGGATTAGGGTGCGCACTTCTTCAGGAAGTAAAGTATCCTGCGCATGTGTCCTTATTGTGATGAATTCAGTTAAATAAAACACTTGTAAGGGATGATAGTGTTGATGATTTACCTTGGATAAGAGCGAGAGTGAGCCTGAAGTGTATTCGTGCATTGGAATCAGAGCAACACATTTGGAAATCCCTGTCACCTCAGAAGAGTCTGTTTGCAAGCAACAGAAGTACACCTTATGTGCCACGCACAGTAAACCTGTATTGTACACTCAACTGCGCATAATAGCAGCAAATGAATAGAAAAAAAAAATATATATAGGCTATAGGCCCTATACCGTATTTTCCATAGTATAAGGCGCACTTTAAAGCCTTTAATTTTCTCAAAAAACGCCTTATATCAAGCGCTTTGGATAAATTGGTTAACAACGCTCCGCGTTATTAAATTCGCCCGTGAACTCGCACTCGTGTCCATATTAAGGCCAATTTATACTTCTGCGTAGGGTGCGCTCAGTAGGGACGGCGTAGCATACGCACAGACGCGTCCCATACCGCGTACCCTTCGCCGTCGCCTGACGCGCACCTCTTCAAAAATGTAACTACACGTCGCGGCGACGCGGACCGCAAGATCGGTGATTGGTCGGCTTGGTAGCATCGCATTTCCTCCTATGCATTTCCGCACGTACCTTCTCACGCATTTCCACCACTGTCTATGATTTCCACACGTACCATCTCCTCCGACGTCTTCTGTCATTTCTGCCTTTCAGTTTTAGTAATTTCACTAAAGTGAACTGTTTTTCCACCTCAATAAGCTCCAACTCCAACATGATCCACTCTCTTTCAGTCAATATTGCTTGTAGTAACCTAGCCGCGAGGAATCTAAACACAGTGGAACATTAAAACTCTCCGCCGCCAACTAGCGTTTCGGAGCAGTACTGCAGAGCAACCAAGACCTGAACGCAGAAGTATAAATGCTCACAACGGCGTCGCCTACGTGCGTAGCCAACGCCGTACACTACGGCGTACCCTCGACGCAGAAGTATAAATTGGCCTTTATGCCCGCTTTGTCACACGGCCAGTTCAACCTCGTATAAATCAGGTTAGCTATGTGTGTCCCCCGCTCACGAGCGCTCACTCTTAACAGACACACTGTTCCCGGCGCTGCTCGCGCGTCACAGAATGTCCATCAAGCGCTCCCCGTTCACAGTAACCGAGTCATCTCATTCAAAACAGACAGCTGTTTCTGTCAGAGAGCCGCCGGACATTGAATGATTATATCAGTCCGCATGCGAATGTCAGTTAGGTGCCCGCCCGAGCGCGCCCACACTAATAAACGCCTCACCTCCGGCGGCGCGCACTCGCTACATTCCCAGCACATCTAGTGGATGCATAACGTAAACCCAGTCAAACATTTGACTGTAGTATCTTATGTGCTTTATAATCCAGTGCACCGTATGTATGAAAAATGTTCTAAAATAGGTCATTCGTTGAAGGTGCGCCTTAAGTGCGGTAAATACGGCTATATATAACTACCCACGTTCTGCTTTCTATCATAAATCGAGCTATAATTTTTTGCTCCATATCGCCCAGCCCTAGTAGATATAAAAACTTTTCTGGTAAGGAAAAAAGTCAATATCAGGAAACAATGTGTAATCAGCATCACATCCAGCCGGCTCCCTGAGAGAGCTCCCATGAGTGGGTCTCGAACTTGTGTCTCTGGTGTGAGAGGTGGACAAGCAAACCTCAATTTTATTGGTTGTTGATTGTTTTACATCACTAGGACTACGCTAGGACTTACGATAATATCAAACATGTTTGATATGAAAGACTAGAGAAAGACTGGCAAAAATCGGGTCGTCGACTGCAGATTATCACCTCACATTTAAAGATCGAGACGACGGGAGCGCGCCGAGATTTCAGTGAGATTCCTAAAGACTGCCGGTCTTTAGTCTGGGACTGTGAAAATCCTTTGGTGTAAGCCCAGCATTAAGGCCCGTACACACCGGGACGAATATCAGTGCGCTTTATTCGTCAGCGTTTTTCAACGCGTTTTTTGTGTTCACACCCAAGCGTTTTTCGCTGACGATGAGCCGAAGGAACATGCAAATTCATTCCTTGACAATAGATGGCGCTTAATGTAAAACAGAAATAATAATAGAATACTATACTAGGGTGATCATATCCATGTCTCAATGTTTTATTATGACAGATAGAAAAAACGAATGAAATAATGATAGAAATAATGTCTTCGGTATTAGAAAAATAAATAAATAAATAATAAATAACTAAAAAAAAAGCCTCCAAATGTAACAAAAAATAGCTCTCACAAACTTACAAAAACTAACTAACAAAATCTATTTATATCTTTAGTTTTCATTCTCTTTATCTTGTTTTTCTTCCTCGTCCACCTTGTTTGCCCATCTATATTTTGCTGTAGAACTGATCTTTCCCAGCAGTTTTTGTTTGAAAACCAGGACATTTTCATCACTTAAAAACAGTCAGGACAGGACGTGGAAACAGGACATGTGTAACGCAAAGTTGAGATGTTGCCCAGAGATAAAAACATAGCAGTTGTCGGATGAACAGATGCACGAGAGACGAGAGTTGTCGTATTTCCCCGCGTTTAATAAAACCACTCAAACGTCACACTCGTCCTCCTCATACATGGGGATCGAGCGAGAAAAAAAACACAAACAAACATCTGGTCACAATAGAAAAATAAAATAAAAGAAAGAATACAAAGAGTCGGCAGAGCGGTTATCTCCTCTCCTCACTTGTCAAAATCTAACTGACACTATGCACACTATGCGCAGTTCTCATCTCCACTCAGATTTCTATAAAGCACAAAGTGACGTTTTACACATGTCCCAAGAAAACAGGACTGTTGGTCACCCTATATACTATTATTACAGAAAAACTAATATAAATATTATCTTATAGCTCTTTGTGCTCCGAGACCAGCAGCTCAATATTCATCTTGCCCATAGGTATCTTGCCTCTTCTTCGCCGTATGTGTGCTCGGCAAGACCGTTTTGTGTTTGAGCGCCCTCAAGTTGTGTTTTACTGTAACTTCAGAAGTACCAGACACGTGAGCAAACCCGCCAATCTCGTTGGTCGGATAGGTTTTTACGCGGCGCGTCAAACCAAAAAAACGAACCCGAGGCGTTTTTTTAAAAATGACGCTTTTACGCGTGGCGTTTTTCGCGTCGGTGTGAACACTCACATTGGCGCCCATTGTTTAATCACGAGGCGTTAAACGTCGACGAATAACGCGCGCGAAATTCGTCCCGGTGTGAACAGGCCTTTAGTCAACTGTTTTGTCCTGAGAGAAAATGTTGTGTTTAGGTACTTGTCAGGAGATGGCGCTGTTTTTACCTATAAAAGTTGCAGAGTAAGAATGTTTATAATAAACTTTGTGTCACTGCATCCCGTCTGCACCTGGATTCACCCTCCTCATGACAGAACTCGTATTTACAATGTGTTTGACTCCACTAGGACACATAAACACAGCAGTAAAGTGACCCTCCTTCACCAGGAATGAGGAAGCTGCTTTAAACACACCTCTGTTTTACACACGTCACTCAAACACACAAGCAGGAAACCATTTCAACTCCTCAGTTCAGAGAAACAGAAACTCAAGTGTTGTTGAGCTGTTGTGTGTTCGTGTCTCTGTATTCAGTAAAATGGCAGAAGCCAGAATTTCTCAGAATGAGTTCATGTGTCCAGTGTGTCTGGATCTGCTGAAGGATCCAGTGGCTATTCCCTGCGGACACAGTTACTGTAAGATCTGTATTACAGACTGCTGGGATCAGGAGGATGAGAAGAGCGTCTACAGCTGCCCTCAGTGCAGACAGACCTTCAGTCCAAGACCTGCTTTAGGGAAAAACACCATTCTGGCTGAACTGGTAGAGAAACTGAAGAAGACTAAACTTCCTGCTGACTGTTACGCTGGAGCTGGAGACGTGGAGTGTGACGTCTGTACTGGAAGAAAACACAAAGCCGTCAAGTCCTGTCTGGTGTGTCAGGAGTCTTACTGTCAAACTCATTTTGACCGTCATGAGGAATTTCCCTCTCGTAAACCACACAAAGTGATTGATGCCACTGGACGACTGCAGGACATGATCTGCCGTAAACATGATAAAGAGCTAGAAATGTTCTGTATCACTGATCAACAGTGCATCTGTGTGTGGTGTAAAGAGTATGAACATAAAAACCACAACACTGTATCAACTGCAGCACAGAGGACAGAGAAACAGGTATGAACTGAGAGAGATTGATCACGCAGAAATGAAAGTGTCTTTATTTACTCACTCATTTACTCATGTTGGTCCAAACCGGTTTGACTGAGTTTCTTCTGTGGAATATAAAATAGGATGTTTTGAAGAATGTCTCATATATTTTAGTTTATACATTGAAAGTCAATGGAGAACTAAAGTTTCAAGCTCCAAAAAGGAGAAAAAGCATAAAAGTAAATCTAACAACTAGTGGTTAAAGAAAGAACTGCAATTGATTGTATTGACATGCACATGTACTTCAAATGAAAATTATGTTTTAAAAAAGTGTACTTGCAGATAATATAATATTAATGAAATGAAAGGCCACTTAAGTGCACTTAAAGAGAATCAACTTTCATGACTGTTTCATAAGTAACACTTTTTTATAATGTAAAATTAAATGGTTTACGTATGTTTTACTTACAAGTACATTTTAATAATATTTATTTATTAAATTATATTATTAATTAATAATATTATTAATAATATTATTAATTATTAATAATATTATTAATTAATTATATATTAAATTTAACTCAATAGGATTATGAAATTACATGATATACTTAAATCCTACTTAAGTGGATCAAAACATCACTCTTGCGCTCAGCTAATTGCTTTATATTTACATTTGAACTATAATACATTTTAATTTCACAACCAATTAACCTGCAATTATGTTTCTGAAAACATTATGTTCATTTCACAATTATTTCAAAATTATATTCTTTCCGTCTATATAATATTCAAAATAAGTGCACTTTTTAAAATATGCTCATTTTAAAAGAGCCACTTTTTAGTCACAAATAAAATCAATCATTGATAAACTCATGTATGTGGAGCCCGAAATCAAATATATGGACATCAGAAACATCAAACTTCACTGGTGTTTGTGTCATGACATCATGGTGTTTAGTCATGTGACAGTGACATGCAAGAACCAATGAGGTTTGATGTTATTGAGTGTCACCATATTTTATTTAGCGTACTCCACTCTTTAACCACTAGTTGTTTAGATTACTTTTATGCTTTTTCTCCTTTTGGAGCTTGAAACTTTTTGGTTCCATTTACTTTCAATGTATAAACTAAAATATGTGGGACATTCTTCAAAATATCATCTGTTGAGTCTCACAATAGAGAGAAAGTTGTACAGGTTTGGAGCGACTTAAGGAAAAGTAAATGATGGTACTAATGATATTGTGATATCCTTACGTTAATAATCCACTAGGTGGCACTCAAGCGCCTTAGCTGAGAGATATATGCTGTAGTAAAAGAGTGAAGAAGAAGAGTGAATGCTGTGCTTGTGCCTACATGTGCTTGCATGTTATTCTGCTTGTACATCAGTTATTAAAAAGTTTATTGAGAGAATTCTACTAGCTTGTGCTTCTTGTCATGGAGACATCACAGATATAAAACTAGTTACTGATGAAATACTGCGGACATTCATTTCAGGAAACCATGAATCTGTGGTTTGAACCAGACAGTAAAAACTTACCATGCAAGATCTTTAACCTCCAGCAATTCTGGATTCATGTAACTTTAATTTTTGTATGACAGTAGTTTTTTGTGTTATTCCCTGTCTTTGGTTTGTCCTCCAGAAACAGCTGAAGGAGATGCAGATGAAGATCCGTCAGAGAATCCAGCAGAGACAGAAAGATCTTCATCAGCTGAGAGAGGATGTGAAGTCTCATAAGGTGAGTCTGGAGAAGAAGAGAAGTGTGAGACGTCTCAGTTTGGACTCACTGAACTCACTGTGTGATTGTGATGTGTGTGTAACAGCGCTCTGCACAGACAGCAGTGGAGGACAGTGAGAAGATCTTCACTGAGATCATCCGCTCCATTGAGAGAAGCCGCTCTGAGGCGACACAGCGGATCAGAGATCAGGAAAAGACTGCAGTGAGTCGAGCTGAAGGACGACTGGAGCGACTGGAGCAGGAGATCAATGATCTGAGGAGGAGAGACGCTGAGCTGGAGCAGCTTTCACACACACAAGATCACATCCAGTTCCTGCAGGTAACAGAGATCTAGGAGAACAGGATCATAGTGGACTTGAGCAAGATCCTGCTATGACAGAGAAACATTTGATGAGAGCAGAATGAGCCGTTGACTGAGATGTTGTCAGGAATTCAGTCAGATTCAGTCGAGTGTTGTGTTATCATATAATCATCAGTCAGACGCTCATCTGATCATCTTCTGTTTAAAGAGACGCACTTACAAAGTCCTGGGAAATGGACCATTAAAAATGAGCTGATTGTGTGAAAGTGCTGGATTGAAGCGAGTCACTGAAGAGAAGTCAAGTCTACAAGAGCCGCACAGATCTGATATAGTGCAGGTTATTGGCTGAAGTGTGGAGATGATGAGTTTTGATTTGTGTTTTCTGTAGAGTTTCCAGTCTCTCTCAGCTCCTCCTGAATCTACAGACGAACCCGACGTTCCCTTCGGTTCTCTCTCCTCTTTTGATGGCGTGAGAGAATCTGTCCGTCAGCTGAGAGACAAACTGGAGGATTTCTGCAAAGAGGAGATCAAGAAGATCTCAGACGGAGGTAAAGTCCTGCGCCTCCTTTATACACGTGTGAGAAAAGAGTCTGAACATACAACAGTTTCTGAAATGTTTGTTTTATTTATAAAGCGTCTTTTTTCACACAAATGTCCTTAAATGCATCTCAGTTTATTAATAAAGTCTCAGGTTATGACTATAACCCTTGTTCGCTGAGAAGGGAACGAGACACTGCGTGGAGAAATCGACACTTTGGGGACGCTCCCTTAGCGTGCGCCTCTGAGGTATGAATGAAACTATTCCAATCCTGATTGACGTTGCGTCATGACGTAACATGTGATGGCATTACCGGATGCATAAATGTGATGCTGACACATACACATGAAGCAAGACGCTCTAAGGCAGTGTTTCCCAACCCTGTTCCTGGTGGCACACCAACACTGCGTGTTTTCTTTGTCTCCCTAATCAAACACACCCGATTCAACCCATCAGCCCATTAACCCACCTGATTATGAGCTGATGGGTTGAGTCAGGTGTGTTTGATAAGGGAGACAAAGAATACACGCAGTGTTGGTGTGCCACCAGGAACAGGGTTGGGAAACACTGCTCTAAGGCCTCGAGGGGCGTGGCAGAACGACGCAATGTCTTGTTCCCTTCTCAGGGAACAAGGGTTATAGTCATAACCCGAGACGGTCCCTTTCGAGGGAACTCAACACTGCGTCAAGAAATCGACACTTTGGGGAACGAATGCCCACTAGGCAACGCATAGAATAGGCCTGTCCTGGAGTGAAACTGATTTAGGGACTTAGGACGAAAGCATGTGTGCGCCAGGCTTACTAGGGAGGTGTAAACTGTAAAACCTAATAAAAGTGTGCGGGGTAGCCCAGCCGGCTGCCTCACAGATCTCCTGGAGGGGCACTCCCGAAAGGAGGGCCCTAGAGGAAGCCATGCCTCTTGTAGAATGAGCCCTAACTGCTAAAGGTGAAGGCAAGTCGCACACCTTGTAAGCCGAGGAAATAGCCTTAACAATCCAATTGCTAATAGTTTGCTTGGATCCCGGGAGCCACTAGGTGACATACTACTAATAATTGGTCCGACCTCCTCCAAGAAGAGGACCTCTCGAGGTACACGCTCAAAGCTCTGACAGGGAAGAGCAAAATAAGCTTCTCTTCTTCTCCTGACACATGAGGTGGAGGATGGAATGCCTAAAGGACTGTGGACCAAGCCATATTAGTAGGTACTTTAGGTACGTAACCCGGACTCGGGTGCAAAAAGGCCTTTACTCTGCCAGGGGCAAACTCCAAGCAAGCTTGTGTCACTGCCAAGCTTGGAGATCTCCCACCCTCTTGAGAGAGATAATAGCTAAGATAAATACCATTTTAAGTGTAAAATGCTTAGGCAAAGCCGACTGCAAAGGTTCGAAGGGGACCAGGGATAACCCTTCAAGAACCACTGCCAGGTCCCAGGCAGGAACCCTGGACCTGGTTGCTGGTCTCATCCTTCAAGTACCACGGAGAAAATGAATGACCAGCTGGTGCCACCCCAGAGGCCCATCTCTTCATGGTGCGTGGAAAGCCGCAATGGCAGCCACGTACACCTTAAGTGTGGAAGGGGAGAGACCCGCAAAGAAACGATCTTGAAGATACTCCAGAACTGAAACCACCGGGCAGTTGACTGGACTGACTCATGTTCTCTACATCAAGTGACAAACACATTCCACTTGAGGCCATATAATCTCCTAGTAGACGGAGCCCTAGAGCTAAGTATGGTTTCAACCACCCTGGCTGATAGACCAGCACTTTGGTACTGAACCCCCTCAGAGGCCAGACCCACAGCTTCCACAACTCTGGGCGAGGGTGGAAGATTGTTCCCTCCGCCTGAGACAACAGATCCCTCCTCAGAGGAATCTGCCATGGCGGAGCTATCAGGAGTGATATTATGTCTGAAATCCGCACTCGGGTCGGCCACATTGGGGCAACCAGAGGTAAACTGATGACCTCTTGACGGACCCTCTCCAGGACTCCCAGGAGCAGAGCAATCGGGGGAAATGCGTACAGGTGAAGCCTCGGCCAGGCCTGTACCATGGCATCCAACCCCAGTGGGGCTGGATGTGAGATGTGAGGTGTTTTTCGAGCACCCTTCTCGACCCCCTGAAACGGAACACTGGCAGGCTGTAGTCGATACGGTTTTGGTGACCACAACTGATTCAAGGAAAAATGACGTGGTGTGCGTTCACTGGAACATGATGCGGGCCAAAGCGTCATTGACGTTTCCTAGAGGGCCCCGCTGCAAGAACAACATCGGTTACCCTGCAACGGAGTGGACAGCCCCAACTTTTAGATCTACCATGCCAAACCAGTCCTCGGACCTGATTTGGTTTCCGATAATGGAAATTGTAAGCATTTCGAACCTGGATCTCCTCAAAGAACAAGTCAAAAGCCTTAGATCTAAAATTGGCCTCAGTCTGCCATCCTTCTTTGGAACTAAAAAGTACCGGCTGTAAAACCTGGACTCCCTGTCTGGTAGGGGAACACTTTCTATGGCCCCTTAATTCCACTAGAGTTTGTACCTCTTGTTCCATAACCCGAGCCTGTTCTGTAACCGCTGCAGTCGGTATGACCCCAACAAACTTGGGAGGTGTTGCCATTCTAAAAAAATCTGCGAGCATACTGACGCTAAACGTAAACAAGCAGTGAATTAATCCCTACATAATGACGTAACAACATCTGATTGGCTAATAAGAACACAATATGTATACATGTGAAATAACTGTAATGTTTTTACTTAAAGGTGCATTGCGCAACTTTTCATGTTAAAAATAGCCGTTTTCTAACCCATACATGCTTAAACAATCGCCTGATGGGCTGAATGAGCCCTTCTTTGATCACTGCGATCGCCTCTATAACCCTGTACAGTGAAATATATAAGAGGGATTCGGGCTCGAATCTGAGACTGGGCGTGACGTCATGCGCGTTCACGCTCGCCTGGCTATGTCTGGCAGGTTCGTGTAGCTATTCGCAGCCGTTCTCCGTATCAGAGAAGACAACTCGAGCGACACAACTCTAGTCAGCTTTCCACAAAAGTAGACGATGGATTCAAAGGGGCTGTTTACACCTGGTCACTTCATGTGTCTTCTGTGATCGGATAGCTATTCGATCGTGAAAAGACCAGGGTGTAAATGCCCTCCGAAACGCATTCGAGACGGATTTGAATTCGATCGCTCAAACCACTTGAGGACGTGGTCTGTGCCGTATTCCAGACGAAACTGGACAAGTGTAAATGCATCTGGTTGTTGAAACCAAGCTATATGTCATGATATTAGTCATATATGACGACGCGCATCACCTGAGCAGAGCCCCTTCATCACCTGAGCTGAGCCCCTTCATCAAGCGCCGCAATCTATCGCAAATCAAAGTGAATTAGTGAAAGTAAGTCGCAGACGCTTAACACTACCATCTTCATTAAAAGTAAAGAAATGAAATGATCTTACCATTTCTGTTGCCGATCTCTCTTATTGCTGTCTTTGCTGATTTTGAAATTAGCCGATGATTAATAAAATCCAGCTCATATCTGTTGCTTTCGGTGACGTGCACTTCATTAAATCTGTATATGGCGCGGAAAGAGACCGGCTTGTAGCTCATTACAAACCCCAACGCAAACTCCACGTGAGACAGAAAATAAAACTTCTGTCTGTCCAGTGCCAGGCGTCGGAATAAGACGAGAGTCAACACCGGGAAGCTTTCAACAAACGGAGAGATCTCCGGTCGTCTCTAGGGCTCAAATGGGTCATAGCCTATACAAAGTGATAACTGAACGTGTTTCCATAATAATTCAATCATAAGTGGATACAGTAAGCACAGGGAGATAGATGGAAACAAAAACCGAAGTTTTCTACTACCCCCGTTTTCCCCCTCTCACACAAGTGTGTAATTTACTCGAATGCCTGTCCTTTCATATATTTTAAATGACTTGCAGATTTATTACTGTATTACCTCATTATGACTGTAACAAAAGATGTGTGCCGCACAGTGTGCGGCTGATGCTCCTTAGTTATGAACAGCTCGTGCAAACGTGCGTATGTGCGTGTGTGTGTGTTCCTCCATGAACGCGCACAGCTCTGGTTGCAGTTTCGCTTGTCGCCAGAGGGGGCGTAGTTCTGCAAAAACTCAGAGACTTGCGTTTAGCTCCTTTAACTAACACTATAACAATAACATAATATATATATATATATATATATATATATATATATATATATATATATATATATATATATATATATTCATTTGTTTCTTATGCTCAATGTAACAATGTGATTACATGAAGAACAAAACTTTTGAAAAAACATGTTCTGGGAGTCAGGAGGATATAAAGATAGGATAGGCTACAAAAACAACATAGTGTGTTTTCTGAGTGACGGTCCACCATCAGGCTAAATATAGGTTCTTTAAAGATACACAAAATTTGAAAATGTTATTGAATTAAACAGACAGCCTCAGCCAACTTCCATATCTTTCAGATTTTGGAAGATGTGATAAACAGTTGAAATTGTTGTCGAAAAGGCAAGAGCAACACACCGCTAATCCAAATGTAGACTGTCCCTCTATGTCACCTAGCAGCAGCAGCGCCGTGTCAGACACGCTTCTGGTGTGCAAAGAGACAGAAAACGCAACGCAGACACCATGCAACAGAAACGCCACGCTCATGCCACGCAGCCAGTGTGTTTCCGGCCTTAGCCCGGCGTATTTCTACAGAAATCTCTCGTCTAGCTCTTTTTGCTTTGACTGGGATCATCCTGCTTATTTTGTGGCCAGCTAATATAAATATACAGTGGGTACAGTAAGTATTCAGACCCCCTTAAATTGTTCACTATTTGTTATATTGCAGCCATTTGCTAAAATCATTTAAGTTAATTTTTTCCCTCATTATTGTACACACAGCACCCCATATTGGGTTATACCCCAAACTGTTGACATTTTTGCACATTTATTAAAAAATAAAAACTGAGATATCACATGGTCCTAAGAATTCAGACCCTTTGCTCAGTATTTAGTAGAAGCACCCTTTTGATCTAATACTCCATGAGTCTTTTTGGGAAAGATGCAACAAGTTTTTCACATCTGGATTTGGGTATCCTCTGCCATTCCTCCTTGCAGATCCTCTCCAGTTCTGTCAGGTTGGATGGTAAACGTTGGTGGACAGCCATTTTCAGGTCTCTCCAGAGATGCTCAATTGGGTCTAAGTCAGGGCTCTGGCTGGGCCATTCAAGAACAGCCACTGAGTTGTTGTGAAGCCACTCCTTCGTTATTTTAGCGGTGTGCTTACGGTCATTGTCTTGTTGGAAGGTGAACCTTCGGCCCAGTCTGAGGTCCAGAGCACTTTGGAAAAGGTTTTCGTCCAGGATATCCCTGTACTTGGCCGCATTCATCTTTCCCTCGATTGCAACCAGTCGTCCTGTCCCTGCAGCTGAAAAACACCACCTGCCACCACCATGCTTCACTGTTGAGATGGTATTGGACAGGTGATGAGCAGTGCCTGGTTTTCTCCACAAATACCGCTTAGAATTAAAGCTAAAAAGTTCTATCTTGGTCTCATCAGACCAGAGGATCTTATCTATCACCATCTTGGAGTCCTTCAGGTGTTTTTTTTTAGTAAACTCCATGCAGGCTTTCATGTGTCTTGCACTGAGGAGAGGCTTCCGTCGGGCCACTCTGCCATAAAGCCCCGACTGGTGGATTGCTGCATTGATGGTTGACTTACTACAACTTTCTCCCATCTCCCGACTGCATCTCTGGAGCTCAGCCACAGTGGTCTTTGGGTTCTTCTTTACCTCTCTCACCAAGGCTCTTCTCCCCTGATAGCTCAGTTTGGCCGAACGGCCAGCTCTAGGAAGGGTTCTGGTCGTCCCAAATGTCTTCCATTTAAGGATTATGGAGGCCACTGTGCTCTTAGGAACCTTTTTTTTCTATGTGTTAACATGTTCTTGTGTCACTTTTCTAATGTTAGAGGGCGTTTCTTGAGAAAAATAAGCTGCATGCAGAAGTTGCATTTCTGAGTATTTCTACATTTAAATGGCTGTGAATTAGTAGCAGACGCTAAAATGCCGGCTAAAATAGACTGGATTTGTGACGTATTAACTCCACTGGGTGGGGCCACAACCTCACACTCCCCTCCCTCCATACTTATATTCCCTAAGCTTTTTACAAACAAGCATCTAGATAATGTATAATATACTGTAATAGTAGTTAATTCATGTATAATATATAATAAAACACACCACAGATGCACAATATAGAAAAAAGACGGACAGGGACAATATGGAACTTTTATTTTTCAGATAATGTTTTATTTTGTTATTTAATGCCTACAAATATAAAACAATATACTTTCAGACGCAGTCAATAATACGAAACTAATGTATTTCATGCGAGATACCTGTGGTCAAGTGACAAAAGAACGACTCATACACGAAGACTCGAGAGATGAACTAATCATTTCTCTTTCCGGTACTGACAGGGAGAACGAAAGACTCGGACGCGAACCCGAACTCGAGACTCGAAATATGAACTAATCATTACTTTTTCCGGTACTTCTGTATCACACACGGCACGGCCCAGCAGACAGATCAGAGTCAGACACTGACGAGTCAACAGCTAACGTATCGAGACACGAGAGGAGGAGAAACAAATCTGATAAATATGAAGTTGCAAAGGAAAGAATGTCTTGGATCAGGAGGTGAGGTGAACTAACAGAATCAGACTGCAATAGCCTGAACTTAAGACTCAACAACTAATAAATTCATACAGGGCAGGGGTACACACACTAGTGTAATGTTCACTCGCCCTATGTAGAGCTTTGTCACAGACAAAAAACACCAAATAAGACAGTTTCACAGAGAGCGCTTGCTGAAGAGCGATAGCTGGTATGTGTATGCGTCAGCGTCATTTTTATGCATCCGGTTATGCCGTCACATGACGTCATGACTCAATACCAATCAGGATTGGAATAGTTTCATTCATACTTCAGAGGCGCACGCTAAGGGAGCGTCCCCAAAGTGTCGATTTCTCTACGCAGTGTTGAGTTCCCTCGAAAGGGAACACATCATCAGCTTTTAGAAATGAGTCCATCATCTAATATCATACAGCATTATATTAGAAATGTCTCAGAAATGAATGTATTTGATCTTGTCATTTCTCTTCACACTGTTCATGTCTGTTTATTTCCACAGTCACTTTCACCAACATGAATCCCAAGACCAGGAACGACTTCCTACAATGTGAGTCACTAGAAAACAAGCAGGAAATCTCACTGAGTGTGTTCATGTTCTTCCTGTAGAAGGAGAAATAAATCATGATAGAAGAGTTTTATAATTGATCATGTAAATGAGGATTTGCTCAGGATATCTGATCATCTGTACTGAGACACTGATGATACATTGAACATTGAGTCATGAAGAGTTCAGAGACATTAAAAGATCAGACAGATTCATAATTCCTGTTTCTGATGTGTTTTCTCTCCATCAGATTCCCATCAGCTCACTCTGGATCTGAACACAGTGAATAAACGCCTCCATCTGTCTAAGAGGAACAGAGTTATTACTAACACTGGCACACAGCAGCCGTATCCTGATCATCCAGACAGATTTGATTGTTATCATCAGGTGTTGTGTAGAGAGAGTGTGTGTGGACGCTGTTACTG